GTTTCCCCTGAAGGATCTTCCGTCGCTTTTGCCTTCTCCCTACATCTCCACTCAGGTGTCCGGCTGGGGCTGTTGGGAGTTGCTGCCGCCAGTGCGGCTCCGGTCCCGCGTTGCCTTGGGAAGGGTGGGGCAAAACCAGGAGCCGCTGAGCCTGAGCCTCCGGTGCCGCTGCTGCTGTTGCAAAGCGCTGCCATGGCTCTTCCTTTTTGCCTTTCCCTTCCCGAGGCGACGCGGGACTGGGGCCGCGCCGGCGGTAGCGACTCCTGACTCAGGGGGCCTCCGAGGGAGGGGAAGAGAGTGACTCCTGCCTCCCGCTGTCATCATCATCTTCTTCTTTTGGGTTAGTGAATCAATTAAACCTTTCATGATAGTGAGATCGTTTCCCAAATTAATTATTTTTATTTTTGAAATTTACCAGTAGCTGCTGCATTTCCCACCCTCGGCTTATACTCGGGTCAATAAGTTTTCCCAGGTTTTTTTGTGTAAAATTAGGTGCCTCGGCTTATATTCGGGTCGACTTATACTCGAGTATATACGGTATATCTCTGGTTTAGTTAGTAAGAAATAGCAGTCAAATATGGAATGGTATTATTTGATTACTGAAAATAAATACAGATAGACTTCAACTCACATTCATTCATTTAATGACCATTTGAACGGCACTGAAAAAAGTGCTTTCTGACTGCTTTTCACACTTAGATTGTTGTAGCACCCCCTTGGTAATATAATATAGCTTGGTAACCTACATGTGTTCATTACAGTTTCACAGCCCTAGAGTCACGTGATCACTATTTCTAACATTCTGACAAGCTTCTGACAAGCCAGGTCAATGGGGAAGCCAGATTTGCTTAATGTCTGCATGATTCACTTAACTGCTGCAGTGATTTGCTTAAAAGAAAGGTCATAAAATGGGACACAAGTCATGTAACAACTGCCTTGCTTAGCAATGGAAATTTTGACTTCATTGTGGTTATAAGTTGAGAAGTACCGTTTCTTCTTTCTTTGAATTCTGTTTTTATTCTTACATTTTCCCCATCATATTAATTTTTTTGAAAAAAAAAAACCAATGTGTTAGACTGTATGTGAAATCCTCAGTTTACAAAATAATATTTTGTACTAAATTCTACAGGTTTGTGGGTGACACTGAAACTTCTTCCAGGAGACATACATCAGATACGGAAAGAATTTCCTCACCTAGTTGATAGAACCACAGCCGTGGCCCGGAAAATGGGCTTTCCAGAGATTATTATGCCTGGTAAGACTAAATAATGATAAAATTAAAGATGTTGATACAACATAGGCATAGGCTGAGTCATGAAGTTGTATTTGGAGGAATTAAAAGTTGCTTGTTGTCAAAAATATGAAGTCTGAACTTATTTCAACTTTATTTGAATTGCTTAGCATAAAAAAGACCTAGTTAAGTCTGTCTATCTTTTCTTTGAGGTAAAAGGCATACTTGTTTATGAATGTGCTGCATCAATAGGAATCATTTTCATTTATCATGCATAGCAGACCTTCACTTATTCACAGTGCAAACAATTCTTTAGAAGAATCGTGGTGGCGCAGTGGTTAGAATGCATTATTGCAGATTGATTCTGCCAACTGCCAGCAGTTCAATCCTGACTGGATCAAGGGTGACTTAGCCTTCCATCCTTCTAAGGCTGGTAAAGTAAGGATCCAGATTGTTGGGGACAATATGGTGACTGTAAACCGTTTAGACAGGGCTGTAAAGCACTATGAAGCAGTACATAAGTCTTAAGTGCTATTGCTATTGTTGTTATATGTGAACTGTAAATTATGAGTTATTCTTAAAGCGTTATTTTGGGTTAGATGATAGTCTTGAAAATTATTGTACATTCAACACTCTAAAACGGGTGCCAAACTCAAGGTTTGGGAGGCCCTCCCAAGGTCCATTTTCGCTGGCAGAGGGTTGCAGGAGGTCTTGCAGTCAAAAACAAAGCTCAGGAGCCTGTTTTCGCTGGCAGAGTGCTTGGGCTGCCATAGGTGACCCCAAACACTAGTGACATTGAGCTGGTCATGCCCACCCTGGCCACATCCACCTCGCCTCCTGAGATCAAACATAACCTTGATGCGGTCCTTAATGAAATCGAGTTTGACACCCCTGCTCTAAAACACAGGCTCAGAAAAAGGTAAAGAACTGCTACTATTCTAACATGCATTCTCTGTAAATGTAGTATTGAAATTATTATAGCGTAGAGGAAAGTGTAGGAAAAAACAGATAATAAAACAAATCTTAAGCCACCATAATTCTTAAAATTTGCTTTCTGATTTTGTAGGATACTGGGTTATTATATGGTATTAAATCAGTGAATTGTTCTTCTTCTTCTTTGTTTCTAGGTGATGTCCGTAATGATATTTATGTAACATTAGTTCAAGGAGATTTTGACAAAGGGAACAAAACTACAGCAAAGAATGTGGAAGTTACAGTATCTGTTTATGATGAAGATGGGAAAAAATTAGAGGTATCTTTCTGGAAAGTTGATGTCTGATTTTGAGTTGGTTCAAAATGATGTGATTGATTATTCACAAATTTATTAAATCATGGTTAAATATTTTTAAAACATGAAACCACCACCCCTTTCTGTCTTGCACATTTACTGGATGATTTAATGCCACATTTTCCCCATGCTGCCATTTATTTCAAGAATAATAATTTTAGAATTTGAATCCTGAAACTGTGAAATTACATTTACATTATTTGGTTTCTTACTAGATGTAATTATAATTGTGTTTATTAGCAGTGGTATTCTCCATTCTTTGTCATCTTTAAAGTTAACTGTAGAGGACTACAAAGGTGCTTCACAAATCTATTTGATTTTCTCCAAGTGCTCCGGTATTAGAAAACAATCTTCCTTCATTCTTTTCCTTATTAACTAATTACATATTAAGTTAAAGATGATTACTCTTCTTGAGTTCTTGGTGTATTTTTCTGTATATTCCCACAATCAAATAATTGTCACTGTATTTATGGCATTTGGCTGGGTCAAAAAAATCTGAGTATCAGCTCCACTGAAAGCATTTGAATGTGTAAGAAAGCGTTACATGTAGTCCCGACCTACAGCCACAACTGACATCAGAATTTCCATTGCTAAGTAAAGAGGTTGTTAAGCGAGTCATGCCTTTTCTTGACGTGGAGGTTAAGCAAATCACTGCAATTGTTAAGTGAATTGTTAAGTGAGTCTGGCTTCCCTCATTGACTTTGCTCATCAGAAGCCAACTGGGAAAGTTGAAAGGCTGATCACAAGACCTCTGGACATTGCAACTGTGGTATAAATACACGCCAGCTGCCAAGTGCAAGGACCAATCATAGGTCACTTTTTTCAGTGCTGTTGTAACTGAACAGTTGCTAAAGAAATGGTTGTACATCAAGGACTACCTGTATTCATATTAATAAAGCAGAATATTTGATTGGGGTAATGCTCAATCTATGCTGATCTGGGTGGTGATTGCTGGTGGAGAGGTGCTGGAGACTTTTTGTTCTCTTTTGGGCTGGTTGATATCTCTTTTGCATAGTCTAATGATGATTATGTCTATATGGCTGATCTGTCAGAGTCAAATTTGTCTAGAAACTTGGCAGTTGGACAGATCAGTCATCAATAGACACGTAGACATTCACAACATCTAAAGACTATGCAAAAGAGATATCAACCAGCCCAAAAGAGAACAAAAAGTCTCCAGCACCTCTCCACCAGCAATCACCACCCAGATCAGCATAGATTGAGCATTACCCCAATCAAATATTCTGCTTTATTAATATGAATACAGGTAGTCCTTGATGTACAACCATTTCTTTAGCAACTGTTCAGTTACAACAGCACTGAAAAAAGTGACCTATGATTGGTCCTTGCACTTGGCAGCTGGCGTGTATTTATACCACAGTTGCAATGTCCAGAGGTCTTGTGATCAGCCTTTCAACTTTCCCAGTTGGCTTCTGATGAGCAAAGTCAATGAGGGAAGCCAGACTCACTTAACAATTCACTTAACAATTGCAGTGATTTGCTTAACCTCCACGTCAAGAAAAGGCATGACTCGCTTAACAACCTCTTTACTTAGCAATGGAAATTCTGATGTCAGTTGTGGCTGTAGGTCGGGACTACATGTAACGCTTTCTTACACATTCAAATGCTTTCAGTGGAGCTGATACTCAGATTTTTTTGACCCAGCCAAATGCCATAAATACAGTGACAATTATTTGATTGTGGGAATATACAGAAAAATACACCAAGAACTCAAGAAGAGTAATCATCTTTAACTTAATATGTAATTAGTTAATAAGGAAAAGAATGAAGGAAGATTGTTTTCTAATACCGGAGCACTTGGAGAAAATCAAATAGATTTGTGAAGCACCTTTGTAGTCCTCTACAGTTAACTTTAAAGATGACAAAGAATGGAGAATACCACTGCTAATAAACACAATTATAATTACATCTAGTAAGAAACCAAATAATGTAAATGTAATTTCACAGTTTCAGGATTCAAATTCTAAAATTATTATTCTTGAAATAAATGGCAGCATGGGGAAAATGTGGCATTAAATCATCCAGTAAATGTGCAAGACAGAAAGGGGTGGTGGTTTCATGTTTTAAAAATATTTAACCATGATTTAATAAATTTGTGAATAATCAATCACATCATTTTGAACCAACTCAAAATCAGACATCAACTTTCCAGAAAGATACCTCTAATTTTTTCCCATCTTCATCATAAACAGATACTGTAACTTCCACATTCTTTGCTGTAGTTTTGTTCCCTTTGTCAAAATCTCCTTGAACTAATGTTACATAAATATCATTACGGACATCACCTAGAAACAAAGAAGAAGAAGAACAATTCACTGATTTAATACCATATAATAACCCAGTATCCTACAAAATCAGAAAGCAAATTTTAAGAATTATGGTGGCTTAAGATTTGTTTTATTATCTGTTTTTTCCTACACTTTCCTCTACGCTATAATAATTTCAATACTACATTTACAGAGAATGCATGTTAGAATAGTAGCAGTTCTTTACCTTTTTCTGAGCCTGTGTTTTAGAGCAGGGGTGTCAAACTCGATTTCATTAAGGACCGCATCAAGGTTATGTTTGATCTCAGGAGGCGAGGTGGATGTGGCCAGGGTGGGCATGACCAGCTCAATGTCACTAGTGTTTGGGGTCACCTATGGCAGCCCAAGCACTCTGCCAGCGAAAACAGGCTCCTGAGCTTTGTTTTTGACTGCAAGACCTCCTGCAACCCTCTGCCAGCGAAAATGGACCTTGGGAGGGCCTCCCAAACCTTGAGTTTGGCACCCGTTTTAGAGTGTTGAATGTACAATAATTTTCAAGACTATCATCTAACCCAAAATAACGCTTTAAGAATAACTCATAATTTACAGTTCACATATAACAACAATAGCAATAGCACTTAAGACTTATGTACTGCTTCATAGTGCTTTACAGCCCTGTCTAAACGGTTTACAGTCACCATATTGTCCCCAACAATCTGGATCCTTACTTTACCAGCCTTAGAAGGATGGAAGGCTAAGTCACCCTTGATCCAGTCAGGATTGAACTGCTGGCAGTTGGCAGAATCAATCTGCAATAATGCATTCTAACCACTGCGCCACCACGATTCTTCTAAAGAATTGTTTGCACTGTGAATAAGTGAAGGTCTGCTATGCATGATAAATGAAAATGATTCCTATTGATGCAGCACATTCATAAACAAGTATGCCTTTTACCTCAAAGAAAAGATAGACAGACTTAACTAGGTCTTTTTTATGCTAAGCAATTCAAATAAAGTTGAAATAAGTTCAGACTTCATATTTTTGACAACAAGCAACTTTTAATTCCTCCAAATACAACTTCATGACTCAGCCTATGCCTATGTTGTATCAACATCTTTAATTTTATCATTATTTAGTCTTACCAGGCATAATAATCTCTGGAAAGCCCATTTTCCGGGCCACGGCTGTGGTTCTATCAACTAGGTGAGGAAATTCTTTCCGTATCTGATGTATGTCTCCTGGAAGAAGTTTCAGTGTCACCCACAAACCTGTAGAATTTAGTACAAAATATTATTTTGTAAACTGAGGATTTCACATACAGTCTAACACATTGG